TTTTTTTTTTTTTTTTAAATGTAGGCAGTCTCAGAGAACATGAAGTGCTTTAGGAGACAGAATTGCAAATCAGATAAAAATACTGCTTAGAAAGTAAAATTTAGGAAATTTTGTTTTCTTCAGAAGGTATATGACTTAACTTGTGTGTAAAGATGTCTTCCCAAGCTGAATACAACTTAAAAGTCGTAGAATTTTTGTCAAGAACTCCTTCCCTCCTTGCCATCCAAACAACCCGTGTTTTCATTCATTTCATCATCACCAAAACTTTAGATGTTGCCAGATTACACTCAAGATAACTTAATTGTGATATCCCTTGAATGCAGTGGAGCCTGGCTCTCCCAGCCCCACCCAAATACTGCTATCCCAGCACCGTCTGAAAATCTCACCTCAAGGGAATATCGCTGTTAGTTCTCAGAAAGTCTTTGGAGAGGATGTCCATAAAACATCTACTTATAAAACATCTAGTTAGTGCACTGTGTTCAACTTCACTGCTAGAAGCACACAGAGAATCTTCCATTCCTGCTTTTACTCATGATACCAAACTAACAGGCATTTTTTCACTCTACGCTTTTCCTTCTCTCAACTTTAAGACACAATCATCTGAGAGTCTGGTTCCTGGTCACCACTATCAAAATCCACGCTGCCCCCCCCCCCACCTCCCAGCTTATCTTGAAATTAACTAATACCGAAGGACTTGCAATTTCCCAAAGCTCCAAACTACCTTGCATCAGGGCGTTTATATTTGACACCCTCAAGTGGACCTTCCCCCACCCACCTCTGCCAATCACCTACACACTTCTTTTTACTTGTGATTTAGTTCTTGGAGGATACCTCCCATTGCCCTTATATGATGCTGCTCCCATACTATAAATTTCTACAGGCAGAACCTCGGTCTTGGTTATCCTAGTATCCCCAGTACTAGCGCGGTGCCTTTCAAGGGGTAGATGCTCATCTAATGTTTTGAGAATAAACGAGTCAGTGAGCAACGGGTCTAGTTTATTTTAAAGATTAAATTGCTCTTATATTCTTGGATAAACTAAGGATATGCAGGTATTTATCATTTAATTTTACAGAACAAAGTACTAAAAGAGATAAGGAAAGCAAAAAAAAATGACTATCTTTTACATTATTCTGTATTTCTTTATATCAACATTTTTAAAGCTGAGTTTTTCACATTTCCAAGGAAATACCTATCCAAATGTCATGTTATCTTGTTCCTGATCACAGAATAAGATTGCTGGTTTCCCACTTTGTTTTACAAAACAGCAAAGCTCTTACTCTTAAACATCCTAAACAGCAATAAATGTGTGAACGTGTACGTAGATTCTAAAGCTACGTCAATGTTATCGTAAAAGGTACATCTGAATAATGACCCCCATAAAAGGATAAATCTTCAAGTTACCCACATATAACATTCTGATCCCACCCTCCACTACTTAGAAAGCTTGTCAAAAACAAAGTGAAGAATCCGCCTCAGATCTCACTAGGGGTGGGAGCAGCTGCTGGAGGTGCCACTGGAACTCTCCATGGCCATGGCGGTAGCATCAGAACTGGTTGAAGCTCCAGTTTGGCCTCTTTCTTCCTCTTCTTTCAAAGCCTCCCTGTACTGGGATGAGAAAGAACATGGGTCAGCCCCATGGACTCTGGCCAAAAACTCCAGGAGTTTCATCTTGCTGATTTCAGCACGGGCTCTTGGACCCCACAGGAATTCGTACTGTGGAGGATCACTGTCAGGCAGCTGCTGGTACTCCAGGTACTTTTCCTGAACGAACTCTTTCGTGATTAAATTACCGGGTTCGCCAAAGATGAAGTGCTTCTGCCCAGCATATACGTCCATCATATTCAGCACTTGCCAGATTTCCTCCTCAGTGGCACGGTTGCCTTTCATGAAGATCACACCCAAGATAAGGATCAGGAGGCCGGTCTTTGGCATGCCCTCTGTTTCAGTCAGCATCCCATCATAGGTGAGGTCCAGTTTAATGACGAGGACATAGCAGTGGCTGACGGGGTCTACTTCCTTCACATCAAGGCCAAATACCATCTCCACACGCTCAGTGGCTCTTAGGAGGATCTCAGTGAAGTGGTCTTCGTACTCTTTGATGACATTATTCACCATGTCTTCTTTTGTGAACAGCTCTTTCATTTGATACTTGAGCAGCAGATAATTCGCCAACATAGCCACCTTCTCATCTACAGGGGTTTTGGGCAAGTTTTCAGTGTCTGGTGGAGACTGCAAGGTGCTCGGCCTCTCCTCGTCTTCTTGGCTGCTGGAGTCTTCATCAGATATGCTCTCTGAGGTGGCTGTGATAGCAGTGGAAGAAGCGTACTCACTCTGAGGATCCTGACTAGTACTGGATATCTCTGCAGTGGTGGTAGCCTCCTCCAGGCTGCTGGTGTTTGGAGAAGAGGAGGAGGAAGAGGAGGTCTCCTCCACAATCTCAGGGAGCAGTATATCATCCAGTCCCTCGGCTTCACTGTAGATGTGAAGGTGTGGCTCAGGAGAGAAGCGAGGGCTCTCCTTTTGGCCAGGCATGGTGACTTTCGTGGGTGGCAGCAGACAAGAGTTTGGGCAGGAGATACGGAAAAGCAGGCTCACAGAACTAAGGGAGAGAGGGAAGACGTGGACCAACTCAGACAGTAAACTAAAATGTGGCATCTTTGACAAAGGCTATCTCCACCAGGCTTCTCTTGGGGAATAGTGTTCTAGGGTCTCACAGGTCTCCTGCCCTCCTAGTCAGACTTCCCCATAATAACCTGAAGGAGTAAATGAGAAGACTCCTTCGAGGGCAGCCATCCAACTCAGTTCAAGGCTTTCCATGGCTCACAGTAAGACAGGCAGGCTCAGACTCTGTAGCTACCTTGGTTTTCGGTTGGATGGTCCCCTCAGTTCTCATTCAGGTTCCTTACCTGGTAGGAACTGGGCCCTTTTGCCTCTGATGACCTGAAGCCACGCCTCTCAGATCAAGGCCTCACCTCCTAGGGAAATCATAGGAGAAAGTGAGGAGAAACCTCATCCAGCCACTCTTACCCAGGGATTACCAAGGATGACCGCAGGGGCTAGATGCTGTGGCCCATCTGTTCTGGGGTGGATGGTACTCTCAGAGTGCACTGAGGGTCCTTACCTGGTGACTCTTAGAAGGGGCTGGGACTCCTTCTGCTGACCTGATGTCACTTTCTCAGACAAAAGCCTTCACCTCTCTGACACTCCTAAGGAAGAAGTGAATGGACTCCTCAGCCTGACAGCCCTGCCAAGTGTTGCCGAGAGCCAGTAACAGGGGCAGGTCAGGACTCTCTTGTGTCCCCGCTGTTTGCTGGAGTTGCAGGTCCCTTAGTGTCTTCTCTTGATACTTAGCAGGGCCAGAGACTTCACCCTCTACTGACATGATCTGCAGCCCCAGACTAAGGTCATCATCCCCCTCAGACTCCTAAAGCAGAATAAAGGGGACACTATTTGTGGCCTCCCCTGCCTAAGGCCTTCTAGGGCTGACATCAAGGTTGGGGTTCTAATCTGTCATATCCCTTCTGTTCTGAAGTAGGGGGTCCTATCAGGCCTCCCTCAAGATCCTCATCTGGACTCCTGCAGACGATGGGAATCTACCCTCTGTTAACCTGAAGCGTATCTCCTCAAAACCAAGGCCATCACCTCCCTCGGACACATGATTTGGAAGTGACAAATTCCATCAGTCTGATAGCTCTGCCCAGGGCATGCTGGGATGATGGCAGGGGCGGGGCTCTAATCCGTTTGGCCTATTCTGTTCTGGGGTACAAGGTCCCAGCTCTGTATTTCCTTTACTACTGGCAGTTCCTGAGACCCTCTCCTGACTTGAGGTTGCCCACTCACAATAAGGCCCCAACTCCGTGTGACCATGGTGGAGGAGTGAGGGGGCATCTCATCTGGTCATTCCTGCTCAGGGTCTCCTTAGGGGTCCAACTGGTCTGTGGGACCACAATTTTCTGGGTTGGTGATCCCTTATCCCTAGCTCACATTACTTACCTTGACTACTGGCAGGGCCTGGGTCTGGGGTGACTCCTTCTGACTTCACGTAGCCTACTTAGACCAAAGTCTTCAGCAACCTGAGACCGCCAGGAGATGCTGCTGAGCAGAGCAGAATTCTGTGTGACTTCCACAGTTCTGTGATGGGTGGCCCCACATTTCCAACCCAGTGTCTTACCTTGACCTCTGGTGTGGTATGGGACTCGTCCCCCCGCTGTCCTAATGTTGCATACTCACAATAAGGGCTCGATTTGCCGTAAAGACTATGAAGAAGGGAGGGGGCATCCCATCCATCTACCCCAGGGTCTCAGGCTCCCAGGGCTCCCAGCAGTCTTTGGGACCACACATTTATGGGTGGGTGGTCCCCTCAGACCTAACAGGGTTCTTACCGTCACTCCTGGATGTGCTGTGGAGTTCTCCTTCTGTTGGCTTGGTGTCACCTACTCAGAGTAAAGCCTTCAGTTTCCTGAGGCTCCAAGGAAGAAGTGAGGGGTCATCTCAGCCTGAAAGCCCTGCTTGGGGAATCCCAGGGCTAACAGCAGGGGCAGCAAAAAACTCTTAGGGAGCCCTACTATCCTAGGGTTGGTGGTCCTTACAGATCTAAATCAGGATCCTTACCTTGATTTAAGCAAGTCCTAGGGATCCCCTCTCTGCTGATCTGGCAGGTATCTCCTCAATCCAGAGCTAGCACCTGTCTCAGATTCTCGAGGTAGAAGCAATGGAGTGCCTCAGCAGACAGTTCTGTGCAGGGCCAACCAGGGCAGAAAATAGGAGCATCACAGCAATTTGTGTCTCCCGCTCTGTTCTGGAGCCAGTAGACTCCTCAACCCCACTCAGTGTCTTACCTTGACACCCAGTAAGGCCTGGGACTCCTCCCTCCACTGAACAGAGACCACCCCCTCAGACCAAGCCTTCACCTCCCACAGACCCCCAAGGCATAAATCTCCTCCAGAAAATCTTATCTTCCATGCCTGGGATCTCCCAGG